CCATTTTGCCTTTTTTCCAGCCGCTTTTGCACGACAAATGCAGCATTTGCCTTCCTGTTGTGCCGCACTTCAATTTGTTAAACTTTTCTTGCCACTTTTGAGCGATTTATGGAAGCAGCTGGCGCAAAAAATGTCTATCAATTGATAAAGCAGAGTCCGGCCTCCTCCCGTGTAAATTGATTTTCTTTTCATTCTCTTCTCTGCTCTACAGTCATTTTATTCAGTTCCCCTTTTTTAGAAATTCCCAAGGTCAATATTTGTTTTATTTAGTATTCCAATTGGCGCTACCAATTTGGACCCTCGCCTGGCTTGTCTGTCTATCACAAATCCTTTAATGATGGTCCTTTAATTTTCATTGAATATTGTGTAACGTGAAAATACTTGAGTGTGTTTTGTGTGATTCAGACAGTTCGATATTCGATAAAGGCATTTCAGTAAATAGATTTCATTACGCTTGTAATTTAATGGATCAGCTGCCAAGCACTCGACATTCTAAGCCCTATTAATTTACCACAGATGCCGTTTTACAAATGGTTGGATCAAAGATGCTCTCAGTGTTCAGGAAAAGTTGAAAGTTCATTAGTAAGCCATAAAGTAGACTATAAATTCATGCATATAGAGCATATGTGCACCACACACACACACACACAGCCATGGGCACACGCACAGTGAATGGCTCATTATCAACACCCACGCAGCTGGCAGCGAACCTGCTCGGAAACAACAAGAAGAATAACAACAACAGCAACTAAGGATGTGGCCGCATAGGCGTTCGCAGCAGCCAGTTCAAGTGGTTTTTCCTATGAGACGTTGAAGCGTCTATACTTGTGTGTGTGTGTATGGGTGTGGGGGCGTGTGTGGGATATCTTTAGGCGCCATCCAACCGCATATCTACATTTAAATTATGCAAGTTGTTGTCTAGGCCGCGCCGTCTATTCCTCACATTCTGCGAGCCTGTTTAGTCGACTGTTTGTCTGTCTGTTTGTTTGCCCTGCCGCCAACGTCTTTGACCCAGAAGCACACATTTCGGCGCTTTTATCCTCTGCTTACGTATACATATGTATGTAAATCTATCTAGCTCTATGTGTGCATGTGTGTGTAGTGCATAGCAAACTTTTCGGGCCAGGTCTCATGGTCTGTGTATTTGCACACGTTTTTCAGCCTGCAGCAATTTGGTTGTACACACACACATACATACATACATACATACATACATACACACACAGCAGACACACTAGCATACCTATGTGTATTCTATGCTTTTTATTTGTGCCAGCTGCTGTTTATTTGTTTAAATTTAACGCATCTCTGCCCTATCATCTGCCCTCGCCCCTCATAACATGTTTGTTATTCGGTTTTTTGTTGCGCTGCTTCTATTTCTATTTCTAATTCCATCTAATTCTTTTTTGGGCTGTGCATAAAGTTAGATTTTTTTCGTTGGCGTCGCTCCAAATGATGTTAAGAAATTTATACGAAAATTTAGGTTTAGGTTTTCTGTATTGAATTTCTTTATTATTTTGTTTGTTTATTGATCAAATGTGTAAATCTCTGCTGAAATAATTGGGGAAAATGAAATCAATGCAATTCACTTAAAATTTGTTTTAGATCTTACTCAACTTTTAATTAGGGGAACTTTGCTTGAACTTTGCTTTCCGCTTTATTTTTTTAAAGTCATTAGATCTACGGCTCTTCGACATAAATTTATAGATATCGTGACTCGTGATTGCTTTTATTTAATTTTTCTCTTAGAATTTGGTTTAGTTTCGGTTCATTTGTTTTCATCATCCACGAAATCATTTAGCACAGCCATCGTTTGGTGTTCACGTTGCTAAAATTTTCTTTTTATTTATATTTCGTTTATTTCGCGCTACGTTTTCAATTTTCATTCTCAGTTTTTTCTCTCTGCCGTCAGCAATGAATGCTTTGGCCAAGTTATTCCAATTTATTTTTGTATTTTTTTCTTTTCTTTTTTTTTTTGTTTAATTTTTTTCATTTCTGGGACGGACGTTGTCTAACCGGTGGGCTACGTTGCGTGAAATCGCATCAGTTGTACAAACTTTAGGCGCGTTATTTAATTTGCCATTGAGGCAGTGCGCTCCATTTATTCAGCCCACGTCCATGTTGAGGTCCTTGTGCGTATCCAGCTGGACGGCGCAGTGAAAAGGTCCGTTCAGCATTTGGCTATTGTCAGTGGCAAAACTTTTTTGCATGCCAAACAATTGTGCAGCTTATATTTAGGCATGATCAAATTTAATTACAGCAAGCGCAACGCAACGCAACGCAACGATACGCTCAAAGAAAAATTACTTGGAAAATTAGCAACGCGGAGTAGGGAAAAATCAATGTGACCTTGGCTAAGTTAAGTCAATCAGTGAGTGGCCAGTGTGAAGCTCAGAAGCAGCTCGAGTCATTGAACATGACCCAGTTCGATACTTTCTAAATAATTGATCAGTTGCTTTGGTTATTTGCGAGAGCGGGAGGGCAATTCAGACTTGAGTAATTTAGCTACCCTCTTCTTGCCGACCTTTGCCCTTCTCCATTTGCCCTCTCCACTTGCTCATAGTCCGCGTTTCACTAGTGGCGGCAACAGCCGCTTAAATTCCTTAAAGCATTTTTGTCCGCATCTAATTGGCTGGCTTCTGCCAGGTAATAATGTAATGTAATTTGACGCAATTCTCAATTTGCGCAACAAAATATTTGTGGATTAGCTTTTGCTGTTGGCATTTGAATGAATTTGTGGAAAACGCAAACCGAATTAAATATAAAAGCATAAACCAAGGAAAAATCCTTGAAATTATTGGAATTTTAATTTGAAATGTTGAAGTCCTTTAATTAATATATAAATCGTAATAAGTTGTGTACTACAGCTAAGGTCATTAGAACTTGGGCCTTGAACAGTTATTAGTTGAATTATGCAGCTAAAGTACATAAAACTTTTTGTGCCAAGTCCGCACTTGGCCAATCCCAACATAATTTAGTTTAATAATTTGACTTTATATATAGTGCATATGAGTTTATTAAAGTTGTTTATGCAAACAACCCACAGCAACTTGAAGTTTAATGATATTTAAATTTTGCTTGCCAAAAAAACTTTTCACATTTGGCGAGAGCAAACTGTGCGCCAAGGCAAATTGCTTGTTTAGTTATTAAGTTAGCTGTACACATACATATACTATGTATATACGCTTATTGAAGGTCCGACTGCAGAGAACTTAAAGCGGATCATAAGTGTCGTAAATGTGGCTCAAATATTTAACGAGCGTTTCTGGTTGCCTTATTAGGGCAATTCTTTCGCTTGCGCTTTTGCCTCGTATATTGCTCATACGCCGCGTCGTGCATGAAACTTGGCACCGCCAATAAAGGGCAGACGGCTGTACCAGTCTGATTCATAATTACATACTTATTCCCATTTAATGGGCACATCTCAGTTAGTGCTTTTGCGGTCGTTTTGTGAACGCATTTCACTTGGGCCTCTACGTTTGCTTTACTTAGCCCTGCATTTTGTAGAGTGCTCTACTTATCTCTCAGTTGTGGACGGAGCGTGTCAATTGAATGGCTTTGCATTGAAAGTTCTTCAAAACAATATTGAATTCATAAAACTTAAATCAGCTTATAGTATTTGATTGATTGTTCAATCAAAATAGTTTTATTGCTGCCCTGGGATAAAAAATCTTTTTATTACAGAGAAGAACTTTCTGAAACAAAGTTAATTATTTGAAGTTATTCAAAAGTATAAAAGCTATATATATTTTACCTTCAATAAATTCAACAAATTTTCCTTTGATGCACATTGTGGTTCATATATGCTATCCATTTCGCCAGTGCCCTGTGCCTTGGTAATGATTGGCTTTAATGAAGTTATTGATTAACAGAAGGCGGCAGCTTTTAACCGAAACTTATTTCGATATACTTGAATTACTTATGCTCTAACATGCTGAGCTAAAAGTTTTGCGTCGCAATAAAGTAGTCGGAACAGCTCAGAGTTGGCTCGTAAATTAGGTGAATGTTGGCAAATTGTTATCGCAGCATTTGACACATGTGAAACTAACCGAATCTCGTACATAATTAATGCCTAAGCCTACAAATTGGCCAAAGTTCAAGGTTGCCTGATATGGCAATAAGCTGAACTCAACTTATCATGGCTCATACTTGTGCTGAGCGGCGTGTGAAGGGTGTAAATTTGGTTCATAGTCCAATATGAGTTGTAGAGTTTTGCATACGCTGATTCAAACTCAAGAGCGTGTGCAATTTTAGTGTGCCAGAAAAATATGACGATGGGCAAAAATGGAAAGCCTTTTATACGCAAACGCGAACGCAAACGCAGACGTGCGCACACACAATGACAGTGGCAAACGAGAAGCAAGAAACAACTTTTTGTATAGCATACTTTTTAGCGAAATTATTTACATACAAATGTTGATGATGTTGATGAAAGTGGAAAGACGACAACGACAACGGCAACGGCAACGGCAACGACAACAGAGGCAATGGCAACTTGCAAGCAACGGAAAGAAAACTCAGGGACGAGCAGACTAACAGACGCGCCCAAACAAGGACGTCGTCACGCCGTCGGGCTTACCAAGGATCCACACGCGGGGCACTTGAAACTATTGCGAGGGCGGCCAAAATGCCTTTGCTGCTAGTTTTCTGTTGCAAATACTTTTTCGGCATCATTCTGTTGCCGTAAAGAACCAGCAGGGGCGTGGCACAGCTTGACTCACTGCCTTTCTGTCCATCGTCTGTCTGTCTGCCTGCCTGCCTGCCTGCCTGCTTGTCTGTCTGTCAGCTACGCTTTGCGTGTGTGCAATGAACAAATTTTTGAGCGCGCAAATTTTCACTTGTTACCATTTGATTAAGTGAAGTGTGTGGGCCGGGCCCCTACACAAACTATTTATTTTTCAAACAATTCAAATAAAATTACTAGCATTGAAACTTTCTACGGTATTGCGATTCAGTCTTGGCTATAATAGAGCCATAATTGCCGAGCATCTGAATAAACATGTTTGATTTTATATAACAGTAGACTACGACTTTATCTTTGGCATCAAATTAACAAAACAAATTTTATTTATTGTATTTAGGCTCCGTTGCGTTAAAAAATTTGCTGAAAATGTTCATCATCTGCGCCCTTACGCAGAGCCTTCTGCCGCAAAGAGTTTGCATGTCCTCAGCTCGTTACTCATCAATGCACAAGTTTTTACCTTTCAGTCGGGTCGAACGTCTGAAGCCCACAGAGATTAGCAATCTAGAAATGGCTTTTGATCTTGACTCCGATCCAAAAAAGGTCAATCTTGCCGGAGAGGTCTATCATAACAGTGACGGCAAACTTTTTGTTCATAATGCGGTGCGTAAGGCAGAAATTGGTGTAGCCTGCGACGACTCATACACCCATGAGCCGTACCCACCTCTGGGCAATCCAGATTTTATTCGAGCTGCCAATGAGCTGGTTTTGAATAAAGCAGCCCCAGCTATGCTGCGAAATCGTGTAAGTAAATTTCTCTAATAAATGGCTCACTTTGCAAATTTTAAAGTTTTTATTTATGAAATGCAAAAAGTTGTCGTTCCTTCTAATATGTATCGTCGGTATTAACCGAAAGTGAGTGAATGCAAATAGAAGGAAGTGCTCTGAAAAAGAGTGTAAGAACACAAGAGAGGGTTAAAAGCAAAAACTGACTGTGATAAACAGATAGAAATGTAAGCAGGCAAACAGAGAGAAGCCAACGGCTTTGCTCATATCAGCTTACAGATACACAGAAGTTTTTAGCTTGCGGGGACCTGTTTGAAATTACCAAATGGAGCATTTCAGTTAATCCAACTCATTATCTTACTTTTCAACACAGGTGCTTGGCATCCAGACACGTTCTAGCGTTGATGCATTGTGCCTGGCCGCACAGTTTCTACGGCAAAAGATGAACTGCAACGTTTGCATGTTAGCGCGTCCCAGTTCTGGACTGTGGGAGCACATATTCAAGAGTAGTGGCTTTACATGCCACAGCTATCAGTATTACAGCGAGGACAGGGGTGAGCTGAATATCTATGGGCTAGTCGCAGACCTAATGACTGCACCGGAGGGTGCCGTTGTAGTACTGGATGCGTGTGCACATAATCCCACTGGCTTGGATCCGAGTGTCGATGAGTGGAAGCTGATTGCCCACATTATTAGGTGCAAGAAACTGTTGCCGCTCTTCCACTTAGAGTCTCATGGACTCGTCACTGGTGATACTGTGCAGGATTCATGGGCAGTGCGTTACTTTGTCGACAGTGGCTTTGATTTGCTGTGTGCTCAGTCGTTTGTCAAGAATTTTGGTCTCTACAGTAAGTGTGAAAGGTGTTCACAGCTCCAATGCATCTCACTAACTGGCATCATTTGTATGCAGATGAGACTTTGGGTCACTTGATGGTCGTTCTTAACAATTCCATTCAGCTGGATGTGGTGCGGGGACAGTTTGAGGCCATGATGCTTCAAAATAAAGAAAAGTCTTTCTCGGCATTTGCGAGTCGTATTGTGGCTAAGATTCTCAATAATGCATCATTGCGTCGTGATTGGTAAGACGGTATATGGGGAAATTTTTAAAATATTTTTTAACCCAAGTCCAAACTTCGTTCTTCAACAGGATTTTGTCTCTCCAAGATGTACATCATCGATTGCAACAAATGAGACTAGCTTTAAGCAATAAACTAACGGTTCTTAGAACGCCTGGCAAGTGGAGTCATATCAAAAATCAAGCTGGCCCGTGTATATATACGAATCTAAAGCCAAATCAGCTGAGAAAGCTGCGTAGCAAACATGTCTATGTGCCCGATAATGGACTCATTAATCTTGGTGCGTTGTGCACAACAAACGTCGACTTGGTAGCCAGTGCCATACATGATGTAATGCTGAAAACGGAATCTAACACTGATAAGGCTCATGTGCTGTCAGCTCCTAGAATAGGCTTACAGCGCTGCAGTCCTGCTAACATTAATAAGATAATGGAATATAGAGATAATATATTATTGCATTCCAATTAGGCTAAAACGCAAAGAATTATCCTCCAGCTAACATTCTAAGGGCAAACGCAGAGAAGTGTGACACAATAAATTTTTACGATTTTCAATTCAAAAAGGGAAAGTTTCGTTCTCCTTGGCAGTATGATGAGAAATGCACTTTGTAATTCTCATCATATGTCGCACATGTCGTCGCACAGCACTTATATACGTCACATTAGAGTCAGTTTCTACTGCAAGAGACATTATGTTATGGGTATGTGCAAGGTGGGGACAGGGCTTTTGGCAACAGCTCGTTAAACTAGAGTTTAAAGGTTTTGACATTAAGTGTACTTGCATTTGTGTGTATGCGACACGCGTATCCTGTGATATGAACTTATGCAAGAGTCCTACATTCATGAGCTCGTATACGTGTAGAAACATTAACATGTACAGAGACACTTGCCCTGAAAAGTTTTCTTTTTAAATCCGAAACTATTAGAACTCGTTAAGTTGCTCAGCGTAACTGAACTAAAATAGTTTAGGCTTTTATAAAGTTTATATAGATATACGTCTTGCATATTCATATTTAGCTTCAAATTATAAAGGATTCATTTCGAAACGTATGTGCGCAACAGATTTAGTTCACGGCGGAGCGTGGAGCAGTAGGTGGGCCACGTTTAAAATGCTACCCATATCATATGTACATAAGTAGTTAAGGGCTTGACATACAACTGTTGCGCCCCAAATTTATTTACCCAAATCGAACCCATTTTAGGTGCCCGCTTAGCCCGATGGCGTATTTAACCGCATGGGCCATAAATCTCTAACTGAACAAGTTCCAGGCAGTCGAAAATAGAACGAAATACATTTTTTATACCGACTCGCGCATTTGCTATTATTTTCTGGCAAACGTCCCTTGAGATCTCTAGGGGATTCGATGGTCCTAAAATGTAGTTGCTGGCATGCAATTTGTCAGCACTGCGAGCGCCAGTCATTGCCAGAGTTAACCCAGTGCCTTAAAGCGCTCTAATGAACGCCATTGACGAACTCAACTGCCCTTTACAACTCCACAGCGATTGGCGCCAAAACATTTCCCCCAATTCCTTTTCAACGCTTTTCAATTCAATTCAATCGCTTTGACAGTATCAAAACCAATAAAATTGGTATGGGTCAATTCTTATATATATATATATATATATATATATATATATATATATATATATATATATATATAGATATATATGTTGTATGTTTGACACAAGCGCATTTTTGGATTTTTTTCAAGTGAGCGTGTGGTTTTATCATTGATTGAACATGTTAAGACGCCTTGAAGACATCAAATTTACACTTGAAGTGTCTCAAGCGACAACTGACCCAGTTAAGGACAGAGAACATGGGCGTGTACCCATGCTATGCCCTCTTAACTTCTGCGTTCAATTCATGAAGTGTAAAATGAATTTAATTTCTATGGTTTGACAATAGAAATGCCACTTTCTGCTAACGTGTCTGATTGAGTGAACTTTCCTCCAAGAACAAATATTCAACGAATTCCTGCAATTAAAATAAGTTGCAATGGGATTTCAGTTTACATTATAATAATTGTTGGTTCGTTATATATAACTTATCAGTTACAAAATAAATTTCATGATATGCTTAGTAATTTTTACACCTTCAGCTTGTGATACTTGAATAATATTTAGACAGCATATGTGCAATAATCACAAATAAGATAAATTAAATTGAAGTGAAATGTATTATGGACAAAATGGAAGATATCAGAAAAACGTGAATTTTCATGGCTGCCGCTGGGTTATTTCTCTCAATTTTTATGCTGCTCCATTCACCTTTTGCCACACGTTCCGTGTCTGGCGTCTGCTGTCTTTTATATTTCTGCACACAGTTTTGGTAATCGTTTTACCGCATTTTTGTGGTCTCACATGCATTGCTCAGCGCCCGCAGCCCGAATCCGCAACGATCCGACCGCAGCGACATGCCAATTGTGGCAAATGTTGCGGATTTCTGCAGCTGAGGTGGTCCAGGGCAACACGCTTGCAAACATGTCTGAAAGCACTGCACAGATTGCCATACACAAAACGTACCAGCAACTAAGGTGGACTGGAAAATGCTGCACCTAAAATGTCTATTAAGTCGACTACAAAATGAGCATCGCATTCACGGTCCTAATAAAAAGACTACATGAATACCTATTCAGCAAGCGCACTAAGAGAGCCTTAAAAATATGTTTACCCATTTAGAATATGCTATTATTGTTTTGAGACACGTTTCATCCTTTAGTGCGGCCTTTTCGTCAAATTCTAGCCCGGGCTCCTGTTCATTGAGTTACTCGCGCTTTATGATTCTTTTGACTTTTCACGCCTCGCTTGATTACGCTCTATTTTTTACGCTCTCATTTTATTTTCGCGCTTTATTTTCTATATGTATATAAATTTACGTCTTATTTTCCTTGACACCTAATTTGTCTATTGACGCTGCTTTTATTCGCGTCTAGTTTTAGTGTCAATTTAATTTAAGATGTCAACTTTCAGTTGTACTAAAATTTTGTTTGCTTTTATTGCGCTCTATGAATGAGTAATAAATCTATTTAATAGCCTTTAAAAAAACAAATCTTGACAGATGCTTATTTAGGTACAAGAGACATATTGCATCTATATGCTTACCAGTAAAATCAATATACATACACATAGGATGAGGTTGAAATGACCTATTATTTAAAATCTGGTTAGTATGTTGATATTTCATAAGCGATGAGTATTCATATAAATGATTCTTCTAATTTCTGATGATATGAATTAAGTTTTTACTGCTTAAGCTATTAAGTTTTCATTTCGATGACTGACTTTTGCTGCAAACTCAAGGCAAGCCCGCCTTATTTTCAGCTTTAAGCTGGCAATGGCAAAAATCACTTTAAATTCGTTCCACTTTACACGGTCTTGCCCATTTTTAAGGGCACTTCACTTCACCTGGGTGTAATTTCAAAAAGGGAACAGGATGGGTGAATAAATTGCTTTCTGTCGCATAAAGCCATTACTCGGCACCCAGCACAAAGGGCCACTGTAGGTATGAATTTTAATATGTGTGAATATTTATATATAAAATATTTCATAACTTGAGTGAGAGAAAGAAAGGGCGCCGTCAACGACAGCCGAATCGGTCGAAGGCTTGGTATTTGTGATATTTTAGCTGGGAGTCAGACAACCCGGGCCACAACCGGCACATCTCTAAAACTACGTTTTAGAAATGTCAACCGTAAATCTAATGTAAATTTAATATATGTATAGATATATATATATATGTACTTGTTGTAGTTCAAATATTAGAGTTGCGCACTATCAACATTGGTTTTTGATGACGGATCTCTTCAGATTGATATCTAGGCTTTCATTTCATTATCATTTTTACAGGTTACGAGAACCTAAAAACTAATTCCCACTTTAGCTATTATATTAATTATATTAATTGTCCGTAATGGTCGCATAAAAGAGAAAACTTTTACAGTTTTAATTCAAGCGCAGTTACGTTGAAGTATTCCAATTCTGACAGGTCACGTAAGCTGTCGTTAGTCCATTAGCCAAACACCTATTGAGGTGATTGCGCACTTCGAACTCGTTGACAGAGGCGACAGCGAGGTAAGTGTTAAATTTCACAACGACCAAGGGCTCATTAGCAATGTCAGGAGTGGGTCTGGTCTGTAACTGAAGGCAGCTCAGGCCAACGCGGCACTTTCCTAGTTAAACCGAGCCAAGAACTGTGTTAGCCATAAATTCACTCTAGCTAACAATAAGGATATTAGATGTCACTGTCGTCATGTCTTGTTTGTACGTAGCTTGGAGTCCACAGTTCAGCAATGCAATTTCCATTGCAATGCATTTTCCTTCTCGATTTTCCCTACAAACAAGTAAAATGAAACGGCAATTTCTTGGCCATTTTCATATTGTAGTCATTGCTGGGCGTTTGTGTGTCTGTGTGTGTTCATTATTCATTGTGTGCACGTACTTTATTCATCTTTTATCCTTCTTGTTATCTCTTCTGCTCAGCTCTGTTCTGCTTCAGCATATCTTGAATTAAATTAAATTCAAGTTATGTGGAATTAACAAAACTGTTGTTAAGTGCAAGAGCTTTGATCATTCAATCCACTCTAGGCCTGACATGCAGCATCAATTACGATTTGAACAAGAGCCATGTTAAATGAATGATCAAAACGTTGAAAACCTTCACTCATGGGCTGCTCAGGCGATAATTTTGTTACGTTCATTTCAGTTAATTAATTATTGACTATAGATTTGGCTTTTTGGCACTTTGTTATGCTTTGATAACACAATTGAAAATCGATAATAATAATAATAATTATTGATTTTCCCCAGTCTCTGCGGTTGTTGAGGAGAGACTGCTGGATGTCCTAATAAAAAATATATTTTTATACCCAATGGAGTTGGTAATACTTCCTTTTGTCTATTTAATACATGTGCACAATTCCATTATACCCCTTTTTACCCATTTGCACTGGGTAAGCAAATGGATACCTCAATTTTCCAATATAAATCATGCCTCTTACATGCGTGCTTCCTGCCTGTCTTGTCGGTGTCCCCGATCCCATTTCCAATGCCTTTGCCCCGGCGCCTGCCTCTGGGAGCGCCCATTGTTGTTACACATGTAAATAACGCAGAAGGCGAAGCTTTATATGCATATGCTATATACCTAGTAGTATATAACATACTTGTATGTATTTATGTACGTTGGTTATATTATGTATTTTTTGTCTTTTGGGAAACCTACGCACTGTTAACAAAATATTTCAACTTGACTGCCTTTTGCATGCAATGCGGCCGACTCGGCTCGACTCGACTCGATTTGGCTCGAACGTATGGGCCATTGGATCCGTGCAGAGTGGCAGTGTGGCTCGAGGGTTTGTAGTTGCACGGCTGAAGGCGGAAGGAAACAAGGCGTACAGCGTACAGAGCACAGCCGGTCACAGGAAATTATTTATATTATTTTTGTGCTGATTTTATTTTATTTTGTTTGTTTTTTTTTTTTAATTTTATTTGCCAAGATTTAATATGCATTTTAATCAAAATAAAAAATGCGTAACCAAAAAGTGGTAATATTAAAAAGTACAGCGGGATGAAAAGCCGCTAACAATGCAACGAACCGAATACGAAAATATAAATAATAATTTCCGCAGGCCACCGCAGGACATAACATATCCTTCTTTTCCACACAGTAACAAATAAAAACGAAAAAAGGAATGAAAACAACAAAAAACCCTCGACAACATCTGCGTAAAGTGCGTTCAATTATTTTTTTTCCTTGTATTTTGTACTCTGTTTTCATTGGGGTCCCTTGCTTCTGCCCTCCTCTGTTGCCGCGCTTCCGCGCAGATAAACTTTCATCAAGTTTATAAGTGTGTACTGAAACAGAACCCACATTTCTTAGCCCACAAAAAATTTTAAGCGCAATGTTATTGCCAAAAAAAAGTAACGAAAGTCACTAGGGCAGCCATTTGAAGTCATGTCGACGACCCTGAAACAAAATCCTCTTGCAAACAAACAATGTCCTCAATGTTTGCAATTGTTTCACATACTTAACTTTGTTTTGCAGCGAAAGAAATTCTCTTGTTGAATAAACAAAAACTGCAGCCGCAAACTTGGATCGATTAAATTTTAAAACCGTTTGCTGCCATATTTGCGGTATTTGCAATCATTAGAAAATTCTATACCCGTATAATAAATGACGTAAAAATGTATTGGTTGTGGCTTTCATAAAATAGATATTCCTGTTGCTTTTTGCCAACAAACATCATGACAAAGGTGAGTTTACGTTGTCCTAAATGATGTTTCATATGCAGTTAATTGAGTATGTGTACATGTATGTGTATATATAGTTAATAACATTATTCTCTCTTGACTTCGCACTGGTCGCCTAACATGTATCCCACATTATTAACGCTCGTGTGACTTTGACACCATCAAATTGGGTCGTCGGTTGTGGTCTAAAAGTTGGTTCACATTCGGGTACCCATTATGGCCATGCCTTGTTGGCTTGAAGAAATGAAATAGGTTTGTATTACCTCCCTTGAAGGCACCCCACATAACACAATTTGTTCCGCAACATTGATTTAATCCTTTTCTTCTGCTGCTCAGACATACACACTAACACACACACATATACACAGACATATACCAGTGTAGTGGTTTGGCACAATTTCTTAAATTTTCCGTTGCCTTTGTTGCCGTTTTCCGGTATTTTACGTCCTTGAATTCATTTTTTTTGCTGCGCTTCTTTCTTACGCATTACCATAAATTCTGCTTGCTTTAGCTTCGCTTTGAATTCGGTCCCATTTGAGCTTTCAATACATTTATATTTGCATTTACTGATTTGAAAATGCCGAAACGTACTTCCAGCTGCCTTCCGCACGCTTACAATTCCTCGCTGCTCCGTCCATCCGGTAAGGTAAAGTCGCGGCTGGGTGACGAAAATTATATTTTTCATGTTAGCTGACAGTAAACAATATGTGCTTACGGTTTCTCTGTTGACTTAAGAGCTCACTGATATTCCATTATTATTATTTTTTCTTTGCCAAATTATTTGTTAAGGAAAATTAACAGAAAACAAAGAAAGTATATCAATTTGATATTTACTTTACTTCATCTTGGAATAAATATAATATAATGCTTCAATATATTCTTGAGCTTACGAAAGAAAAAAATATCGTAGCGATTACCTAGTGTGTCGGTATTATTATTTAAAATTCTGAAGCCTTACACATTCAAGCTTTTGATTGTGGCATGACCATGATTTAAATTCAAGATTTTATTACTCAATCAGCTCGTTTACATCTTCCAACTGAAGCGGCAAATGCCCTACGGCCTTAGCCAAATCTGCAACACGGCACGCATACAGATAACCTTTTTTAAGATCTTCCACCTGCAGCCAGCGAAGAAGTACGCGCACATGGTGCACGTCCACAGGCGGACATATAATGTATGAGTCCTCGATCTCGCTCAGCGTAGCATGGGGATTGTTGACACCTACGAGGGCCAGGCCACGTCTTCGATTTTGATTATCTATGAGCACGCGATAGTAGAGACGCGGAACGGGTAGCACGCCTTCGCCCTCAGCATGAGTGGCCAAATGGAAGCCAGCAGCTTCGCTCTGCTGTGGAACTGGCATGACACCATAGGTGCCCGTATAGACAGTCACTGAGAGATCTAGGCGAGCCACAAGCTGACGCATTTTGTCCTCTACAATTTGCCAATGGCCATTATTGAATCTTTGCCATTGCGGCGCCACATTCAGGTAGTTGAAGCTGGAGCGCTGCTGGCTGGCATAAATGAAATCTGCCTTCGAAGCCAGGTGTCCGCGTGTGAGGTACTGTCCCTCTTTCAGGAAACTGGACACGTGCGCAGAGGCAATGGGTTGTTTAACTAGTTTCGCCACCTGTTTCAGTTGGTTTTTCTGTGAATAGAGATCGTTCATATCGTAGCCAGAGAAGTGGCCAGCGGAGCTGAACTTAACGCGTTTAACTTGTCTCTGAAAGAGCGCATTGGCCGGGACCAATTGGTAGGAAGCGTAGTGCGTTCGCAGCTGATCCGCATCGTGGCACAGCTCAATGGTCCGCACAAATCGACCCGCGCTGATATTGTAGCCCACACGATATACGCGCCCATGCGACGCCACATCTCCATCCCCGCAGGACTGGTTCATGCGCTCCACAGTATACGTCAGTGGCTTGGCGCAAGTAAAATCGCCCAACTCCCATTTGCCACCTTCCCAATCAAAGGTTTTGTCGTGTAGACAGCGAACATGTATGGATGGATTATGTGAATAGCTCCCATCGCTGTTACCAATGGAAAATGAGTGAGTGCAATAGAGTTCGATGTTGGCGCCACGTGGTATCTGCAGCTCTCCCTTGGCAGTGGGCAGCCAGTAGCTGTCCGTATTTGGATGCAGGTAAAGCGGCTGCAGATTGGAGAGTGGCAAATCGTTCTGAATGTCCAGCGTGCAAGGCGCGTCTGCGATAAGATAAGACAAATTAAAATAAGACAAATACAAAGACAAGACAAAACTCAAAGCTAACGAACATGGGAGTCTGTATAACAGGTTGGAAAAAGAGGGCATGCAGAATGCATCTTATATTCGGATTTACATCTGCACTTACCTTGCTGACCCACATGTATTCCCTCAAGATCTCTGATTATTTGACCCACTTCTTCTGCTGGCTTCATTGCCTCCCGCGCTTGAATCTCGTTCGTTGACGCGAATAACAACAAAGCGATCAAAACTGTGTGCATGACTCTGGTCTGGCGTTCTGGCCTCGAACTGACTTGTGCGATGTCTGTTTACAGGTGTTTTTATATGCTTTCTTGTTTCTTGACAATTTTTTTTTACTCCCTCGAATTTTGAGGGGAGCGTAAGATATTATAACTGTTTTGAAAAGAAAGCATTTGTCTGTATTGTAATATTGATTATTATTGTAGTAACTGAAAGTTTCTATAGCCTTCGGTTTTTGTTTTATACATGAAATAATTATATTGTATAAATACAATACATAAACAATTCAAAATAAGTAAAATTTGTTCTATGCAGTTAAAACGTTGTATATTTAGTTTACAAATTGGATATGAAATAAAGCATAATTTTTGAAAAACACATTTGAAAATGAAAAATGCGATCTGTTCACCATACTGTTTCATTTCTGCGTCGCTTTGGTCGGAGTGAGGTAGCCGTGCTTACACTGCTTACAGTGACACTGGCATCCACGGAGGCACCATCTGAGCTTTGATTGAACGACACTTGAGTCATGTAGGCACCAGCGTTGTTGTTGTTCCATTGTCCATCCATTGGGCCCATTCCTCCGAGTCCGTCCATTTGTCTCATTCCTTTACCACCCATTCTAATTTGACCCATTCCCATGCCACCGTGCACGACCATTCCAGGTCCACACAATCTAGCATAGCCCATTCCACGCATACCGTTCCCACCCATTCCATTGTCACCACCCTGCTGGCTCTGTTGGCTTGCTTCTCTACGTTTGTTAAATCCTTTTACATTCCTTTTCTTGCGACTGGATGTACTCGTGACTTCATTCGTTTCATTCATTGCATTTGTACCCATTCCATTACCATTCGTTCCACTTCCACACACTATATATCCCCGTTGACCCATTCCACCAGGTCCCATACCCATTCCACCATTACCTACCCTACCCATACCCATACCGTTTCCCCCCATACCCATTCCCATTCCATAGCCTCCTACTCCATTTCCACCCATTCCATTGCCACCCCTATCGCCCATGCCATTTCCATTGCCTCCCATTCCATAACCACCCATACCATTACCGTTTCTTCCCATGGCCATTCCATTACCACCCATTCCATTACCGTTTCTTCCCATGGCCATTCCATTACCACCCATTCCATTTCCATTGCTATTTCCATTCGTTCCCATTCCATTGCCACCTCTACCACCCATACCATTGCCATTGCTTCCCATTCCGTAGCCACCTCTACCACCCATTCCATTCCCATTGGTTCCCATTCCATTGCCACCTATACCACCTATTCCATTCTCATTGGTTCCCAATCCATTGCCACCTCTACCACCCATTCCATTCCCATTGGTTCCCATTCCATTGCCACCTCTACCACCCATTCCATTCTCATTGGTTCCCATTCCATTGCCACCTCTACCACCCATTCCATTGCCACCTCTGCCACCCATACCATTTCCATTGCCACCCATTCCATTGCCACCTCTGCCACCCATACCATTTCCATTGCCACCCATTCCATTACCATTCACTTCATTACCGTTTCTTCCCATGTTCTTTCCATTGCCACCCATACCATATCCATTGGCATTTCCATTGGCTCCCATTCCGTTGCCACCTCTACCACCCATACCATTTCCATTGCCACCCATTCCATTACCATTCATTTCATTACCATTTCTTCCCATGTTCTTTCCATTGCCACCCATACCATATCCATTGGCATTTCCATTGCCACCCATTCCGTTGCCACCTCTACCACCCATACCGTATCCATTGGCGTTTCCCATGCCATTGCCACCTCTACCATTCGCACCAATTCCATTGGGATTTCCATTCCCACCCATTCCATTACCACCCATACCATTATTACGTCCACCATTTCCGTTACCTATCTGTCCAGCTTGTCGCTTACGTCTCTCTATTAGAAACCCTGAAAGCAGTTAGTAAGAGTATTAAAGAAAAACTGTTATTCCGAGGATCAGTACATTTTTATGGTTTTTATTTAATTGATTATCCATATGAGTTGTAATCATTGTTATTGTTGACATAATTGTAATTATTATTGTTGTTGTTGTTGTTGTAGTAGTCATAGTTGGGACTTTGAGTGCTGTATTGGTTATTATAAGTGGGGTAAATGCCACCTGGCCCATAATATTGATTGTAATTATAGCCCATGTTAGGGTAACTGCCTATACCAATTGGTAGGATGACAATTGGTATTAGCATTGGCGTGGGCATTTGCATTGGTCTGCGTTGTACCGGAGAGTAGTACACACGACCGGGATTTGACACTGGACCTGGAAGAGGCCTTGCCATCGGCATTGGCATTGGCATTGGCATTGGCATTGGCATTGGGGCTGGCATTGGACCTGGCATGGGCATGCGTCCAGGCAAATATACTTGTCTTGCGGTAACATTATGTAGTGCGTAAGATGAATCAAATTCCAAGTCAATGAAGTCTGGAGAATCTGGGAAGATTAATTGCCAAAAGAAAAAGAGAGAGACTGGTCAGGAGAATAGTTTCTTGTAATTGTTTCGGAAATAGCACCGGAAGCGATCAACTATGATGCTATCCGGCAGAAACACGAACTACTTTAGCCCCTAAATGGTTATGTAAAACAAATAGTTGCTCGTTGATGCAGTAGGTCTAGAGGATCTAGCAAGTGGGTACCCAGTTGCCAGTCTGGGATAGCAATTGACATAACAAGGTGGTGTCGGGGGCACTAACTGCGGTCCGGCGGCGGTACGGGTGCTTGAGTAAGGTGGTACAGATCTAGTTGCGGGCAAATATGGCGAGGGAGGCACGTATGGTGAGGCGCCATTGGTGCACGCATATGGATAATATGGACTAACAATGCATGGTTGTCGCCAGAGCTGTCTATTGTAATTGAGATTGGGATTCGGATTTGGCATGGGCTGCTGTGCCCCATCTTGCACAATGACTAGAACGTTTGCCTGTCGCTGATCGGCATGGCTGGCACCTGGCACAGGCCCAGTCGCTCCATTAAGGAGCTCAAAGCCATTGTCCCTGTCGGGGATCGACTCAGGGTACAGTTGGTGATTCAAATGGAGCGTGCTGGTGCTGGGACCGGGATTGGGTGCGCTGATGCTACGAGTGTTAGCTGTGGTGGATGTGGTGTCGATCGTGATGCGATTCAAATGCTGATCTGGAACGGATCAGTAAGAGGTTTGCCATGAGTGTGTGTCGCTTGACAATGAGTGGGTTAAGTGGGCTTTACACACCTGAGCTACTTGAATGTTCGACACATTTTGGATATTGGCCACAGTGTTCGCCATCTAGTTGATCCTTTTCGCATGCTACGCTGGATAATATGCACCTTTCGGGGGGCACACAGCTAATATCGCGACAATCGCGTCCAAACTCTGACAAAGTCAAAAAAGTTAGCAAATAATTGCAGCCCGAGCACACAAAATGCCATCACTTACTTTTGTAGGCATTGACGTGGGCTGTTATGGTCACAATCATGGCCAATATACAACAGGCTATGTAGCCGATCTGCCACTTTTTAAACATGGTTCAAATGCTTCAAATACTTTTGTTCCGATAACTGATTTCTGTTCTCCATGTGAACTTTATTTTATATGATTTGCAAGACATGCTTGAATAATTTACGTACAAATGATTTAAGTGGAGCTTACTGAATTTAATTGAAATTTATAGATTAAGTGTGGTAATTCTGATAGTTATGGGAGATTTAACAGAGCAACAAAGTATTCTAACTAAATTATAAAGTTGTTTGGAGTTAAAAAAAATATATTCTGTTGATTTTCAGCAACAATTAAAACATCAAGTTCCATTGACATTTCATATTAATGAATGCGCGACGTAAACATTATTTACTGATAAGATTAACATAATCAAATGCTTTTATTTATGTTACAAAAGCTCAAAGTGCCGATATACCTTGTCAACCAGTGTACAAAATGTATATAGGAGCAGCTTCGGTAATTCGAAACGTGTGGCACGTGCGGCATTATGACAATTAAAAAGCTGCTTATCGTTGGTCTGTTTTTATTTTTATGATTATTTATTGTAGGCTTAGGTAATTTGATTAGAACAGTAGATATTGCTATCTGTGTTGATTCGAAATACCTAAAATACCATTCGTTTGCAGATCGTCCAATGGCAAATCTTTGACGATTTCTATAAAATCTTCCACTGTGCAGGCATACGAGTAGCCCTTCTTTAAATCTTGCTTTGACCAGCTAATCCAACTGATTTGATCACTAATATCGGGGCAGATAATATAGTCGTCCTCAATCTCCTGCAGGCCAATATGTGGGTTATTAACGCCCACCAGCACAATGCCCTTGCGGGTTTCGTGATCGATAATCACACGGAAATACAACTTCGGCACTGGTATCAGACCATTGTTGTTCTCGTCGAAGTCTAAGTATAGCTCTTGGGACACGCCCTCTGCATCAGGCAGCGTGGATACACCCCACGTTCCTGTGAAACAATCAACGGTTATATTCTCGTCAGCAACGAATTTTCGCACGCTATCTTCAACACGTTCCCAGTTGCCCGCATTGAATGTCTGCCACTGGGGCGCGGCATTTACAAAGAAAAAGGTCGCCTGCTGTGCGGCACCGAAAATGAAGTCAGTTTTGGCAGATAGATGGCCCCTGGCCAGATACACGTTGCCGCTAATATCGAAATATGGTGAGGCATCCATGCCCAGAATCTCGCTAACTGTAATATTTTGTTGCACCTGGGTATACTTCTGATTGACGTCCTTGCCGCCATAGAAGTCACCCGTTACAAAGCTTGGCCGACTAACTGAACGCTGATATTGGGCGCTGCTGGGCGTCAGCACATGGTGTACATAGCGTGTTACCTCTGCTAGCTCATCGTGACAGACATCGTAGAGTTGCAGGAAGTCATCGTCCATATCATCGCTGGCTAGCTGAAAGCCAACTTCCAAAAGATTTGTGCCTCCATTGCACACACGATTCGTACGTCGAGCAGTGTAGCTAGGCCACGAGGTGCATACAAAGTCGTTAATATGGTAGACGCTGCCCAGCACTAAGAAATTTTCCTGTTGCCAGCAAGTGGCCCTCAGTCGAGAATACTCTGCAAAATATCCTTGAAATGTTCTTGTGCCGCTGCAGTGCATCTCTATTGTCTGACCATGCTTTAATTCTACCACCCCTTGTGCATTGGGCTCCAAATATTTTGCTGAGCCCTTCGCGTTGCGCACTACAAAGAGCGGAGCTGGATCTTTCAGATCGCCATTTACGCGAAAGTTACACGGCTGCTGTTGCTGTGCCTCCGGTACTCCAAGGAGTCCTGTTGTCTCCAGTTGATTTAATGGGAGATCCTTGACCACATCCGTAAAATCTTCCACAGCGCATGCGTAGGCATAGCCCTTCTCGATGTTGGTCTTCTCCCAGTCCAGCCAATCCAACTGCGCACCCACATCCTCACAGACGACATAGTCCTGCAGTATTTCGGCAAGGCTGGCATGTGGATTGTTCGACACCACTAAGGCAATTCCCTTGCGACTCTGCTGGTCAATAACAATGCGATAGACCAGGCGCGGAACTGGCAGCTGCTCTGTATGGGCATCTAAATAGATCGGGGTCTGCTTGCCTTCGGCATTTGGCAATGTGGCCACGCCCCAGCTGCCTGCATGCACGCTTACGTTCAGCGCCTCATGGGCCACAAACTGACGAAGACTCTGCTCCAAAGCCAACCAGTTGCCAATGGTAATGCTGCGCCACTGGGGCACCACATTCACATAAAAGTGGGTCGCACGCTGCGCCGAGCCATGCACAAAATCTTGACGCGCGCCGAGGTGACCTCGTGTTAGGTAGAAATCGCGACTGCTGTCTAGGTACTGGCTTGCATCCAGACCGAGAGCCTCGCTAAGCGTCTCGTACTGATGCGGCAGGCTATAGAGTACATTGACGTCCCTGCCAGCATAGAAGTCGGCTCGCAGATAACCAGGCTGAGCAACGTTCCGTTGATAGGCCACATTAGCTGGCGTCAGCTCGTAGCGAGCGTATCGCGTGATCTGTGCATTCTCGTCATAGCACAGCTCCAGCTGCGGCAACAGACCGGCAGCCACATTAAAGCCAATCTGCAGTAGTTCAGTGCCGCCTTCACACGAGTTACCAGTTCGAACGGCTTCATAAGTGGGCCAAGATTGGCAGCTGAATTCTCCGATTCTTACATTCTGGCCTTCCGCCTCATACATTTGGTTGCCCACACAGCGCGCCGTCAGTGCGGTATATTTATTGAATGGTATGGCAAGTGCAGCTGTACAATGCAAATCAATGCTCGACCCATCATCTACCGTATAGATTCCTGTTTCATTCGGCAAAAGCCAACTCAGGGCGCCCTCTGGCGTAAGCAGCGGGGCAGGATTTGTGAGATCCCCGTTGATGCTGAAGTAGCATTGATTGGGCTTAGGAGTAGGAGTAGGAGTTGGTGTAGTCGGAGCAGCAGTTGTTGCAGTTGAGCTTGATAATGTGCTGGGCGATTCGGTAGGGCTCACAGGAGATGTTGTAGATGGTAATTCCGTGGTGTCGACAGTGGAAACAGTGCTCTCAGAAGCCGTTGTAGTTGGGTATTCAGTGGTGCTGACAGTGGAAACAGTGCTCTCAGAAGCCGTTGTAGTTGGGTATTCAGTGGTGCTGACAGTGGAAACAGTGCTCTCAGAAGCCGTTGTAGTTGGGTATTCAGTGGTGCTGACAGTGGAAACAGTGCTCTCAGAAGCCGTTGTAGTTGGGTATTCAGTGGTGCTGACAGTGGAAACAGTGCTCTCAGAAGCCGTTGTAGTTGGCAATTCAGTGGTGTCGACAGTGCTCTCAGAAGCCGTTGTAGTTGTGTATTCAGTGGTGTCGACAGTGGTTGGAGAATCAGTGGTGGTGCTTGGATCTCTATCTAAGCCAAGGATACCATTCGTGTGCAGATCATCAAGTGGCAAGTCTGTCACCACTTCCGTGAAATCCTCCACAGAGCACGCATATGAATAGCCCTCATGTAGATCCTCCTTTATCCAGGAAACCCAACTTATCTGATGTCCAATATCCTTGCACAAAATATAATCACTTTGAATTTGATCCAAAGTTACGTAGGGGTTGTTAACACCGACTAGGACAATGCCCTCTCGACTGGCACGATCGATTATGACACGGAAATACAGTTTGGGGACTGGTATCAAGCCATTGTTGTTCTCATCAAAGTCAAGATATAGTTCCTGTTCGATGCCCTCGAAGTCGGGCAGCATGGATACGCCCCAGGTGCCGGTATAGCAGTCAACAGTCAGGTGCTGATCGGCAACAAATTTGCGAACACTGGATTCGACACGCTCCCAGTTGCCGCCATTGAAGCTCTGCCACTGTGGCGCCACATTGATGAATAGAAAGGTCGACATTTGAGCCGCTCCAAAGACGAGATCCGTTTTAGCGACCATGTGGCCGCGTGCCAATATCCGATCTTCGCTATAGTTAAAGTATGGGCTAGCATCCATGCCCAGAATTTCACTTATTGTGATATTCTGTTCTTTTTGCGTGTACTTCTTATTAACGTCGCGACCGCCGTAAAAGTCTAGTTCAACGAAATTCGGTCGCGCCACACCATGTTGATAGTCGTAGCTGGATGGATGGAGCACGTGGTGTACATAGCGTGTAACCTCAGCCAGCTCATCATGGCATACATCAAATGTGTGCAGGAATCCATCGTCGTCCAGCTGGAAGCCCACTTTAACCAGATCTGTGCCACCATTGCACTGACGACCAGTGCGCAGTGCCGTGAAGGTCGGCCATGCGGTGCAGCTAAAGTTGGCAAAAGGGTAGATCAGGTCATCGACAAGGAAATACTTTCCCTGCAGACACTGTGCAGTTAATTGTGTCCGATTCTGAAAGGGCGGCGCAAAACTAACGCCCGGGCAGAACATGTCCAGCAGTTCGCCATTGCTTAAATGCACTGTGTCCGTTGGATCTGGCACGATTATCTCGAAAGAATTATGTCGCGCAAAGAGCGGCGCTGGATCATTGAGATCGCCGTTTACTCGAAACTCGCAATCGCCGAAAACTGGCACACCCTGTTCCCCTGCAGCATAGGGCAAAACGCGCGGTAATTGTTTTGCGGCGGAGCTGAAGCCGACCAGCAGCTCAAGGATGAAGATCACAGTCACGTCGCACCTCATAGTACTGCGTGTGAGCTCTTTATGCGAGCCCGTTCGTCGATCATTAACGTTATTATATCGTTATCACAACTTAACACTTAACGCACTTATTTATGACAGTTGATTATACTATAGATTACGAATTGGCCAGCGAAAATACCCACAATGCGACTTTAGCTTTTCGATTGGAGTTTAGCTCTTGAGTGCGATTTGTAAAAATACTTAATAGTTGACAGCCGTTCAATCTGTAATCTTCAACACATGAAAATGATGGGGCTATTTACTTATCAGCTAGACTACGGCATAAAACGTATTCCAGTATCTGATTTACTGGATATCGTCACAATAGCTTAAGGAGTGAGGTTGTATACCGCTTAAAGCCAACTGTAGTATACCTCTTAATTAAGACTAGTTAGTCGTTATAATTCCTTATCAAATGGGTTAAACACATTTTATGGAACGATAAGTAAATTGTATATTAGTTCATATTTCCAAGAGCAAAAGAACAAAACACAAAACGATCTGTCAAATACTAATTGATTTCCTTTGCCGACATTTGCAATTTACAAGCCATTTATGAGCACGGAAATCAAATATTTATTGGGAGCCCAAAAACCTTAGGCATAAATACCAACAAAATCAAGGACAGGCATGTGATTATTTGCACTAAAGACTGTTTTCCGAGTCCCACACCAAATAATCTACCGATGCGTATGTAGACTAATTTGCAGCACTGTACGTGCGTGTGAATTTCGGCAATGGAATTCTTCAATGCTCGTGGTAAAAAAACAGAGCGTTTGTCGAAGACAACACGGCTGGATAATACCCTACACACAGCAGCAAGGCTAACTCACACATGCTCAGAGTTCTAGTGTAGCCTACGTCAATGACTGTGTGGGCAGAGGGTATACCACATAAAAGAAAAGAAAAACATCGAAAATGTATGTAAAAACAAATCATTTGGTAATTGGATTTGCAGAAATACAATTTATTCGCATTTGCTGCTGACAGCTGCTACTCACAGAGGTCCTGCCAATAAAATGCAATAAATAAGTGAACACTTCTCGATGCATGTCAATTGACTTGAAAAGAAATATTTATCAATAGAATGGCCCTTGACGTAGTTGTTTATTTAATTCATGTAGTTACTCTAAGCAAGTGCTAATCAATGGGCGCACGTCAATGTTCGCTGATAACTGGTACCAAAATTCTGATTTATCAATGGAATCATTTAGAGTGTCATTGTCACACACTTTGCGTCTACATTGCATTTACAGCCAATTAATTAGCTTGATTTATTTATGAAAATTCGAACGCAAAATTCATGTCGTAATCGTGCTTTGCACCCACTTCAATTGTCGGAGTGTCTACCTAAATGCTGTAAATGAATGAGTTAATTGGGCTTGTATTTATTTTCGTGCCACACAATTGGGGCTGCATATTTGGCTAGGCAACTGACAATGACAACTTGCGCATAAATTATGATTTTCAATAATTTATGTTAACTAATGGCAACACATGGCGTATACGCATTGTCCTTGTCATTGGCTGCCAATTAAGATAGTTGCCCAAATTGAAATCGGTCTGGGAGGATTGTAACAGCATCAGCAACAGCAACAGCAATGGCAACAGCATCTGCCACTTGGCACTCTTGCTAATGGCCACGTTAATTATAATTTTTCATTTGCACTTCTTTTCAATGTTCACCCCATCGCCCTTGACAGATGGCTGCTCAGTGCAGCTCGCAGGTCTCCGCTCAATTAAAAGTGCATTAAGATATCGCAGAGCAAGTCGCAAATGTTAAGGCGCCAGGTGCTGCCTGATAATTTCTTACCTGATTGCAGTCACTTAATGAAAGTGCTTAATTCGTCAGGGACAGATGCAGTAAACGACATTGAATCTTGCTGCAAATAATTTCTGTGCACAAAGTTGCAATTAAATATGAAAGTATAAGATGGAAAATTGAAATATTGAGTGTTGTAGTAGTATACTTATTCAACTTAAGACACTTTTCTATAGACTGTGTCATGAGTATAAGTATTAATTAACATTATTACTATTAGTAGAAACATTTCTTTATATCATATCTCTGGGTCAATTGGACACAGTTGAGCTCTCTCTTTAGCTTTTAGATCCCCTAAATCTTTTATGGCATATGTATATCTTGGTTACTCGGAGAGCACATCGACTGACTCAACCCAACCTCACTAGCTTACAGAATTTCTTTAATGTCCATGGGAAATAAAGTCGACTCCAAAAATTTGCATACATATATAGTTATTGGTTTATTTCATCTTCTTGTTCATCGTTTGGTAAAAAGTGAGCTGAAAAGCTCTTGTATAGCGTATAAGCCCCCTCGAATAACACTGATACGCCGTGTGACCGACGCTGTTGATGGCAACAGCGCGGCATTGAATAAATGAAGAAGAAGAATAAATGTAGATGGCGTTGGCGATGGCGATGGCGATGGTGCAGGCGATGGCCAAACCGGCCACTGCCGCTGGCACTGATGGCCAACAAGGCGGCTTTCAAGTGCAGCTGGCAAACGCGCCAACTGCAAAAGACAGCGCCAAACAGGGCAGCGAAAAAAGCAGCGCACTCATTTTTTATACATTTTTGTTTTTTTTGTCTTTCTTTTGTTTTTTTTTTTTAAGGGGATGTGGCTGAGATTTTTTTTGTGCTCTTGCCAGGCGTAAGCAATTTTTGCAGCTCTCTTTCTTTTAAGCGAAACATTTTAATTTAAATGTTAAAACGTGACGATAGCGCAGTCACTGGGGGATATGAGGCTGTCTCCTGTGCGTCAAAATGTCAGTCAGTCAACGACATATGCAGTTATCCGCAATACGTATACTAACTTTACCCACAGGTAACTTTAAAGCTAACAACTGGCTTGTAGCAATAACCCATTATCTGAGCGTATTTGTACAGAGTTATAATTTATATCAAAAGAAATCTGAGCAATTTTTAAGCTATTCAATGAGAAGCACTCTAGCCTCGATTTAAATCGATTGTAGGGTATTCCCTTGTTATTGCTGCTGTTTCGGTATGTTCGCCAATCTTGTTGCTCTGTCATTGTCAGTCTCGTGTAAATTTTGCTACTGTTATTGTTGCTGTTGTGGTTGTTATAGCTTGTTACTTGAGTGGATTACCAGCGATGTTGAACATCCAATATCCAAAGGGACGGGCGCAGCCCTTGGACGAAAAAGTTGTTAAATTATGCCTGCTCAAAAATTTGAATGACGGCGCGCTTTGGTTGAGCCCACGGCAAAAGAAAAAAATGTGGACTCTGTCGAGCTGTGGTAACCACAGCTCAAGTGCCAATTAATAAGTTTCGCCATCGGTATGCGTTAAAAAAGCCCAGAAGCAGCAAGAGCAACAGCAGCAGCAGCAACAACAATAACAACAACAACAATCAAATGGAAGCCGTTCGGTCATCAGCCTTTTGCCTGTGCCCTGCAACGCCGCGGTGTGCAGTTGATGCTGTTCAGTCGTTTGGTCAGCCCTATATGCATGAATTATTCAAAGAAAAGGATATTAAATGCAAATACACACACACATGCGCACAATTTTATATATATTTGTATGGACGTTTATGTTATGTCCCTGTGTTGTGTTTGCTGCCGTTGTTGAAGAAGGATGAGGACACGCTTGAGTAATTGGAAGTTTTTACTGCCGCCTCGTTTGCCGTAATTCCACACACGCTGCTGCTCTACGTGTTGTTCTCGTTGTTGTTGTTGTTGTTGTTGTTGTTGTTGATGGAGCAAATTTTAATTAATAATGTGCGGCTTCACACATTGCCATAAAATATTCATGTTGGCTCAGTGGGTACTTTGGACTGTCGTTCAATTTTATTGATAAAATTACGAGTGTCTTTTGCTGCTTAGGCCCAGCTCTTATTAAGCTTATTCGGGCTCAGTCTAGAATCATAATCTTCGATTCAAGGTTGCTCCTTGATCGAACCCAAATAGAAGCAGATATGAGCACATCATCGATTCTACGTACAAAAGAAATTATATTAATTGAAGCTACACAATTGTTGAATATATGCCAGTCTTACATACGTGATAGCAGTTGAATTGATAATATGAAAGACACAAGAGTATTACGATTTCCATTATAATTTTTTGTGTTTCAATTAGCACGAATGCTGACCAAAATAAGTATTCGGTAGCAAAAGTGGAATAATAAGTAAATTTATATGTAATACATTTCGATAACAGGGTCGCCTCAAGTGCATTGTTGCCATTGTTGGTTGTAGTGCATTGTGTGCTGTTGTTTGTTGCCTGTTGCTATTTTTCTTTCACTTCAGACGTAGCTCGTTTCACTTTCCGGCTTTTGCTTTTGCTTTTACTGAGCACAGCACCCTGGCGAAAGGAAATTTTCAGCAACAATGTATGTTTATTTTAACTTTACCATGTTGCTGCATTTGCAGTTGCAATTGTTGGTGCTGTTGCTTCTGCTGTTGCTGTTGTGTGCGCTATTGTTGGTATCTGTAATGTTGCCGTTGTGCTCGCTGCAACGTTTAATTCAATGTAAACGTGTTAAAGCGTGCCCAGCATGCGAAAAGCAGAAAAACAGTTTTAAATTGAAACAAACAAGCAATGACTGTACAACTGACTGATGGGTTCCACTTGCCGACAATCGAACCTCTTCAGCTCCTCTGCCTGTTGTCTGCCTGCCTGCCTGACAAATGCAGGCAGTAACAGCATCATCATTATACATATATCATTTTACGCGCATGAGGTGGTCCCATCAGCATCTGCGACAATGGAAATGTTAAATTCTCTCATTTAATTTGATTTTAATTTCGTTGCTTTCAATGCCGCCGAATGAAATTGAATCCCGGCCAATAATCAATCAGTCTTTAATTAAGTCAAAGCTTTTCTGGCCAGGTCTTGCCTGGCCTGGCTCTGATGTACTTATATTAATTTATGCGCGTTAAAAGTAAATATTAAATATATTATTTCATTTGTATCGTAACGTTTACCTTTTTATGTGAGTAAGAGATTCAATATCTATAATCGATAATCGAATAATTTTCAGATCAGATTCGAATTATTGAGGTATTCGAAATTCATGGCACACTGAAGTCTTGCCACGAATATTATATACATATTTACATAATCCTGACTTACGATAGCCTTATTAGTTTAAATTGGGCTTCTCCACGATGCAAACTCAAACTCTGACCAGCTTAGAACTTTGTTTCCTTTAGACAGCTTCTATAAATGACGAAAGTTAATTTACATAGATCAGTTTGGTAACAACAACTTACCTGTTTACGAGCCGCGTATTGCGAAATTGGAACTTCAAGCTTCAGCGATCGTTGATCCGGGTCTGTTTCGATTGCAAAGAATAGTTCGGAGACGTCATCAATGAAATCAGGTTTTATGCTGCCCGATGCAATGCGCACGCGCTGCAGCTGCTTGCATTCTGCTATAACTTTTAGCATAGCAGCAGATATATCGACTCTGCTGGACATCCAGATGCTGAGCTTCTGCAGCTGTGTTAGCTGTGCTAGCATCTCCACACATTCAGCTGTAGAGCAGAAGCACTTCAGTTGCTGCAATCCACTTAGCCGAACAATTTGTTGGGTCTCTGCAGGGGTAAGGGTGCCTCCATCGATGTCTAGACGCTGAAGCTGCTGCCGTGCAGCCAAATTAATGAGGAGTGGCTCAAAAGAGTTAGTGGCCCGAACTCCGTAATATATGAGCTGCCTGAGCTTAGGTAGCTTGGCAAGTGCCTTGTATTCCGATGCTTCCGCTATCATGCCAAACCGAAGAGTCTCCAGTTTGGCACAGTAAGGCACAATATTGGTGAGATTCCGTTGGACACTGGAAAAGCCAAGGTGCAGATAACGTAGATTGGGATTCGATTTGCAGCAATTGGTTAAAGTTGCGGCGCTCAATTGCTGTAAAGTCAAGTGTAATTCCTCCAGATGTTTCAGTAAGCTTAAACTGTCAAAGGTAAAATCTGAAAATAATAATAATATTAAGAGAATTAAAAAAAACTATACGAACTGAGCTTTCCTTCAATTTATATACCATTAACAGCATGCAACTCTAAGACATTGAGCTGGCTTAGGTCCTTAACTGCGGTTAAAATATTCTCAAAGGGCTGCTCAATCGGAGTATGCAGAAATTTAAGCTGTTTGACTGTTAATCTGTTCAGGCTTATCATGCCTGTCAATGCTAAACTTAATATGCTAGCGCAATTGATGGGTGCTATGCATCCATAGCTTCTAAGTGCTCGCGAAGTATCAAAGTGATCCAGATCGATGGTCAGCTCTTCGACGGATTCACGGCAAATGCAGAATCTGATCAGCTGCTGCCTTGAGCTGTTCTCGTCAATCGTGAACTGACGATAATGTTTACCGGCCCAAGCTACGAATACCTCGCGAAAGCTTTGACAGACTTGTGCAAAACTTATTTGATCGTCAATAGATAGATAAGGCAGCAGATAGCTGAGGCAGTCAACGTTCAAAATTAAAATACTGGAAGAGCTCATTTTTGCTAACCAGCAAGTGGTGCTTTGATTGCGAGACTGAATTGCAAATATAATTAAATAAAAATCAACTTACAGTGCCAACAAAAAGCCACGTAACCCAAATAGCATGAGTAATCAGTTGCTATTCATGCACAGATTAGATACACGTACACCTTAACGAGTCTGTTTGTTGACGCTCCGCTCGATAGACTGGTTCGGCTTCGTATATATTATCAATACGTATAATACGTAGTGGAAATTATTTTTACAACAAAACTAAGTATTTGTCTGCTAAAATTTATTAAAACGCAAAATTTATAGAATATACAAAACACTTAAAGACTTAGTTATGAAATACTAAACCTCATGTAGTCATGTTTTTTCTCAAGGTAGGTATTTTAGATGCTTGGATTTATCCAGGCACGGAGTTTTTGCACTAGCGACGGGTGGTAAGTCTGCCTGCCACTTTGGAATGTAATTTCTTCACCTCTGAGTTCAGGCTCCCTCGGTCATCTGTATTCAAAGATACAAGAGATGGACCAGAAATTGGCAAAGTCTGCTTACAGCTTCTCAGCTTGGCTTTCTTACCAGGATTGCCAGAACGCACCCATTGGAAACAGTTGTTCTTCGTGTTTAATGGTCTAGAATTACAGCTATAGGCAGACTCAACCAACTTGGAACTGCCGCTATTGGGCAGTACTGCTTTTTTGTCAGTGTTATCAAAAGGGCGCATCCATTCAGAACATTCTTTATTTGGGCTTAATGGCTTCCCATTATTTTGAGCAGCAGAACGCGCCCATTTGAAGCTCTTGCTCACCGTAATACCTTTTACTGAGAAATCATCGCAAGCTGAACTGTTTCGAGCCAACTTTCGTTTTGGCCTAGCGGCGCCCGCTTCGGAACGAGACTTGTGCGGAAGTGTATGCTTTGGTGTCTCATTGTCCGGCTGTGTGATATGATCAAATATAATGTTTCGCAATACGATGCTGTCCTTGAAGAGGGTTGGCATAAAAAGCTGCGGTTCGTGCCCTGGATACTCCACCAAAACAGCGCTTTGGTTTAGTATTAGTTTCAAAGAAAATTTTAAGTGATTGGTTTTGAAATTCATTTGCTTAGCCAAATTTTTACTTTATCATAGACAAACTTTTACATTACTGGATTGGGAAATGTTATTGTTATTTATACATCAAAATATAATGAAAGACAACTGAAGTTTAGCACCCGTTTGATTTGTCAACTCGTACAATTTCTATTGAGTTCGGAACGGTGACTTTAATAAATTAATTTGACACGTTTCTGGCTTCTTATGAATACTGCTTGCGGCGTTTTTTTGACTTTTCTGTTGTAGCTTTTTGGTTTTTGTCAGTTGTTTCTCTTTCTGGGGTCTCTGTCCACTTTTCTGTTTATCAGTGTTAACTGAATTACATGGATTAATCAAAAGGTTGGAGAGTCCAATAGCCTGGGTTGCCAAAGAAGCAGCAATAGAAGCGGCCGAATTTTTGACGGATTTCGTTGTTTTACCCGACTTGAGAGATGCACATTGCGCCAGCTCGTAAGCGGAGATGCGCTTCATGGCAACGCAACGGCTACAAATATGAGGCAGAAAGATCTCAGATTCACAGCCGTTACATTCCACCAGCACCACCTTTCCATTCGATATAAGCTTAAGTTCAAAGCGTCGTTTCGAAATATCAGTTCTTGCAGTGTTTGGCGCCAAGCCCGCCGTTGCAGTGGTCAGCTTGTGGCTCCCCATCCTGTGGCACCGTTTGATCGGCGAGCATGAGAGAAAGTTCATCTCACTTGCTTCTGGCTTGGGCTGGCGGCTAAATATGACATTCCTTAAACAGACTCGCCCGTTTTGCAGATCAGGTAGAAATATTTCAGATTCATGACCACGCGCATTCACTAAGACAACACTCCTGTCAGCCAGCAATTCTATATGAAATCTAGATTTGATTGTGGATTCTGTGCTACTGCACATAATTTTGGGGCTTAAAAGGCGGCAAGTGATGTAAATCACAACAAGAATTTGATACGTCCAAAAATTATCAACCGGAATTGGCTATGCCTTTTCTCAGTGGTAGCGTGTATACAACTGTTTATCTCAGATTTATCATATATCCAAAAGGTTTAAATTGTTGTTTGTGATTTGATCAACATGTCGCTTAGTTTTGATTGTATTTTCAAACTGGTCCGATGATCCAAATTAAATACTAGCTCTACATATGCCTCAATAATGACATTCACCCAGGGACACGTTTTTCAGCTAATGCTAATATCGAATTATAATCATTTACACCAACATATGTATGGAAATGTTACACATACACCTCAAACATTCAGCCCATAGCCTTGGGCTAACGACATTTATGTCGTTTAATATCAGCAGCAAGACCGCTAAATTTCATAGCTCTAATTCGCGTTCTATTCACGGGAGCCATTCAATAAAGAAAACCACAAGCCAGCCACGTAAGGCTATCAGCGATGTACCAGAATCCAATACCCAGCATTTTTCCTAATTGTATCAAAGAGCCGGCGAATTTATGGTGCCAACTATTAAATGTCCGAGCTTCGAGCAGCGCGCCGGGTGTGTTTTATGTGGTCCACGTAAATGGAGTTGGGCGGACAGCATCCTTGATAGCAAAAAACCAACAACCACTTTCGGTTGCCCAGAGTTGTTTCAGCTGGTTGGTTGGTTGGTTGCCCAGCTCAGCGAAATATAAAAAATTCAATTATAAGAATTTATAATAGCGTAGGCTTGTCTGTTATACTAATTCATGGCGTTGCCGGGTACAAGGGAATCCGCCTTATCTATTAAGCCTTCGTAGTGCACGTAAATAGCTTGATTACATTAAAGCAATGGCTATATAATTTACATGAAACTACGATGGCAAGATGAAAATATATGAATTACTTAATTTATAAGTTAAGCTCCAAGTTTGGAGAGGCTCAAAAAGAGCTTAAAAAATGTATTTATCCGTCAAACTTTGTTTATTATTCATTGTTCTTCACTTGATTTCCCACGTTTATTACTTAAATTTTTGTTGAAGTTTCGATTAGCAGAAGATGTTTATCTTTTGTTGTTTTCCTTTTGAAGAAATGCTAAAAATTGATTTGCAATGGTGTTTGACATGGATTTGATTTTGGTTTTCTCTGTTTTCTCACAGGAATTCATGTTGATTTGCGCCAATTCGAATAGTTAAGGCAGAGAATGAATTTCAACGCCTGTCGTCTGGCCAAGTAATTTAATCTGACAAGAGCCAAAAATAAATAGGCTTAATGTGTGAAGAAGTTGACAGCAACGTGTTTGAAGTGCGCCCTTCGGCAGTTCTCAGCTGCTACAGAGCTAAATATATATATATATAAAATATATGCATGTGGATACGTTTGTTAGGCTTCACTAGAATAGCCTTAAAGACATGAGAATAAGCAGAAAATTTGCATAAGAAAGTGTGAAAGTCTCACCATGACTAAGTGTGGGGGTGTGTGTGAGTTTGTTTGTGGGCATGAGTTTTCCGTAAGCCGTTTTTGCAGTTTTTGACAAATGACTTAAAGCCTTAAGGGTACACAGTTTTGAAAAGGGTTAAAGTAATTTGTTGAGACTGTTAAATATTGTATGTGGACCAAGAACAAGAAGACACAAAAACAAATACATAATAAAAATGAAATATTTTCGTATTAACAGAAACAAGGACAATGTGAACATACATTCATACATACATGCATATACATATGCATATAAATGTATAATGTACATGATATACATATGTATAATAATATACACATTTCAGCTAAAATTGTTTAGCTGGAAAACTGATATTCATATATGCATATTTATATATGCATGTGTCCAAAGAGAAAGTAAAACTTGTATAAATCATTGGTTCGCCCATAGCGTCATAAGTAAAAATCCAAAGTTCTTTATGAATGACACTGAAATGTATTTTTTAAAAAATTATGTATGTATTGAATCAATGAAATTTTATATTTTACATTGTTGCTTATGATAAGATCTATCCATATCTATACATAACTGTTTTACTGAAACGACCTCTAAGCTCTGTCAATATCAGGATAAAATCAGACATGAACCACTCATCATGGCATAAATTTAATGTTAATCAAGAAGATTTAAAGTAAATTGTATTTGATTACTGAATCATAATTGTTAAAAAATGAGATTCGAGCTTTTCTTCTGGAGGTATTTGTTGAGATACTTGATTTGCAAAAATGTAATAAATTTAAAAATAATTTATATATGGTAATATATACAAATGCCATATGCGTAAGATGTGACTGGCTCACGCATGTAACTTATGCCTTTGATGTCTGCTCATAAGATAGCAATATCATAGCCATATTCACACACACACACATGGCCATTCTCATATACGCACACACACACACAGACGCAGTGTAAGTATCAGGCAAAATGACATACTTTACCTACTTAGAGTCAGCAGGGCAAAGGAAAAGTTTCATGCACAGTTTCAGATTGGTTTTATTGCGCCAACTTGGGCTGATGACAATAGCGGTCGAGGTGTGTGTTTAATCCGGAAACTTATTTATGTATGTTCAGAAGTATATATATATGTTTATATACATATATATGTACATATGTATATATCTTTCCGGTCGTTCGGCTTACGCATTTTCTCGTACCATATATGCTTAAGCGGTCCGAGGGACGAACTGAGCGACAAGACGGACACTTTCTTATAACACGACCGCGCACACTTTCACTTTACATAAGCTCTTTGTAGTGCTTACTGGCTGACACCCCTCTGAGAGACTGAGTCTGTGTTTGTGGGTGTGTGGGCGTGTGCTTTTGTGCGAGTGTGTTTACAAACACTTGATAATTCCTTGCATACACGCACTCTGGCTTGGATATGCTCGCATGTACGATAAGTAAGTACGAGTATCTGCAAGATAATCCTGCGTATCCAGTGGGCTTGTGAGGCCATCTGCCAGTTGCTTGTTTGTGGCTGCCCGCAAGGGTCTCTTGAATTATTTTAAATTGTTTCTGCCATGCATTTTGATCGAGTTTTTATGTATTCATATGCGAGCACATCTATAAAACGAAATAAAATAAAAATAAAATAATGGGCCCGTCTTTGCATTTGCCAAAGGGCCATAAACTGTGATTTAGAGTTTTGGATGCGGATTTCTATCAGAATTTAATCTTGCAGATGGCTAAGCGCCCAATTTAATGGACTGTGGGTCGATTGTTGAACAGCTTTGCTTTTCATTAGGAAAGAAGAAACAAACCTTTTTGTGAGTTTTATTTTCTATAGATAAGCTTACATTAGGGCTAGAAAGGATATAATAAAGTGAGAGAAGCAAATATATGTTCCTTTTCAGCTTATTCTATACACAATTCTTTATTTAGTTCCGGGGCGCCGGCTCCTTTGTGGCTGATGATGAGCACTTGCTCTGTTAATTAAATTAACGTGCAAATGGCTGAAATTACTTTCTGAAAAGTTTTTTGTGTTTGTTTAGCCCAGGGACGAGCCATAGATCAAAGCAGCTCTCATGCTGTGCATCGTCGCAACTCATCTCAGGTTGCATTCGTGTATGTGTGCACTGTGTGTGCCTTGTCAGCAGGTGTGCCAGCGTGTGTGTGCTGAGACCTGTGTGCATTTGTACGGGTCCAGTAGCCTGCTTCGGTATTATAAAGTAGGTCAGTCGTTGTACATGTGATGCCAATAAAAGTTAATGCGTCCGTGTGTGAATGGCATATGGAATGGCGGTATTTGCTCTACCTTGTTGATATTTTTAATATTTATGGAATTTTAAAATGACAGTTAACACATTTACGGGAAACTGCGCCGACTGTAAATTGTATCATTTACTTGAAATCGACTCGTGAAAAACTGCCACAAGTTATATTTGCAACTTTGATAAACTTTTTGGGTATCAACATTTTAGGTGATTGTAATATATAATATATATTTATGCATAAATATATATATAAATTATATGATTTCCAGTCCTGTGGTGACTGAAAGTTAGGTTGAGAGGCGACTGTGCCTCTTATTGCTGGCCTCGGGCTCAGACAATGAAATAAGCCATTTAACGAGCAAATGACGGAGTGAATATTTATTTAAGCGGTTTACTGGAAGAACGCTTTTTAACCCTGCTTTTAATTGTTCTTTTTTGAATAATCGAAACAGTTAATTTTATTGGTTTTTCTTATTATATTCACTATTTTTAGTTTTACTTATATGACACCAATTTTTAGCATGTCCTATCAGTACGAGTTAAAACACGAGACTGATCTATATTTTTACAAATCATAGCCTCACCGGCGTAAGTAGAGTTGCCCTTGCCAGGGCTGTTCCTTAACTTGTCTAGCACCCGATAATAAGTGTTGAATAATACCTTACATTAAGTGTTATAAGCTAACTAAGTGTTATAAGTTAACTACCCCCCCCTCAAGTGTAAGGTCGTCCTCGACCGACCCAATTCCAGCGACGACTCCTCGCAAGTGCTTCGCGGACTTCTTTGCGTCGATGATCCACCAAAGAGTGAAGCCAATGCAGATTAAAGCACAGCATATGGCTCCTCTTTCGGAGTGCCGTACAACGACACATCATCAAAGTGCACCATTTCGGTTCCTTGGTCGCATATTAGCAGCGGTGACCAGCGAGTCGGTGCAGGTGTTCTCGAATGAAATCCGCAAGTCGTTCTCATTCACATTCAATACGGAGCAGTATGAGCAGCGTACTGATTCTTCGCTATCGCCGTTCAGCAGGCGCTTACTAAGCTTGCTCTTGCGCCTACGTATGTGGCGTCTGTTGAAGCTGTTGGTGCACGACGTGGACGTGGGCCTTGGCATCGGATGATGCATACCAAAGTTGTGCAGCTGCAGCGACTTGAGTGTGGCTGGCGCCGTCGATGACTGGCCGTGCACGTGCCCGTGATGGCCGTGATGACTGTGTCCCACCACTCCAGCGATGCTATGAGCCGTTACTGGACGAGTGATGTGTGTAGTCTGTCGGCGCGCTCAGCTGGCGATTGAATTCGGCCTTGCGGCGCGTCAAGTCCGTCAGGCAGTATTTGTTCAGATGGCCGTTGCTGGAGACAGGGCTCTTGGGCGATGATGCCAGATGCTGCGTATAGGCCGAAGGAGTTGCTGCTCACGCTTAGCTTATTGCCGGCGTTGTGCAGCAGATTGTTACAGTTCTTGCCGCTGATCTTGGCCGACTTTTGCCCGTCGTCGGTATCGTGTTGCTGCTGCTGCTAGCCGCCCTGTACTCCTTGTCGTCGCTCTCGCTGCGCACCGATGCTCGATACGCAGGAAATGTCTTCGTCTTGCTCTTCAGAGAGCCGTTCAGCAGTAGCTGCTGTTGCCGTGCGGCAACTGCCGACAATGCCGGCAGCTGCAGTTGACGTGACGCCGCTGCCGATGAGGATGAGGATGAGCCGGCAGCCGTGGCAGGTGTCGACAGAGATGGGCAGCGGTTGGAGCAACCTGTGGCTGTGAAACTTCTTGAATTAATGCAGTTGGCGGTGTTTTGGGGATTTCTTGACTTGGTTCTAGTATGGATGAAGAGTCGCTTGGCTCTGCCGCCGCGAAGAGTTCGTTAGTTGTTGCTGGCTGATGAGCTTCTACTGTTGGTGGTGGTGCCGTGAACAAGGGGGTTTCCTCAACGATTCCGCTTGTAGATTTGCATGCTGTGGTTCTGGCTTAGCATCCAACTATGGGGCGAATAGAGCTGTTGCTGGTTCTTGTGGACGACAGGATAAATCGTAATTTTTCTGCAGGCTTTTTTAATTTTTGGGAATTTGGTTATAAAATGTATAGTGTTGATGGATTCCTCTAGCCAAATTGATTTTAAATCTGAGGAGTCCAAAATGTTTGGGCTAACAATGAGCCTTCGCGAGAGTAATAGCAAGCATTAAACTTTGCAACTAGATCGTCCGCATTCTGTTTCTGGACAGTGTTTCAGTGTTTCAAATAAATAAATCAATTTGTGAGTTTTGGCTATCCCGAGAACTCCATTGACAGCAAATGTTAACTGGTTAAGCTGGTCTTGAACCTCAGTGTTTACTTCTATCCGTCTACTGTTGGCATTCATTAGTCGCATTTCAGTGGACCTAATCTACTCTAAATGACCGGCATCGGGTGTACCCGCCACCAAATTGTTTTATAAAAATTATGCCAAGTGGCTAAAGGTAAATTGAAAAACTATATCTAACTTATTCTAAATTGCCTAGCGGCTTATAATAAAAGGTGTAATAAAAAAACAAGGGAGTCATCTTAGGTTGTCCTTGTGGACCACCCTTCCTTTAATGAGGACCTCGGTCCCCAGGTCTGCTTCCACGGCCTTCTCGACACATAAAGGTGTGAGTTTGTTTCCGAGCCGTCGGTTGGACTTGACCAAATCCTTGTCACCAACATCGAAGACTCTATTCTGCCGCTTTGCGTTCTCCCTAGCTCTGAGCGTCGTCTGAGCGTTTCTGATCTTTTCTTCTATCTTTTCTTGTGGCTCTTGTTTTTTGGGGTGTCTATCATACTTAGCCCTAGCACATGTTTTGCAGTTTTGTACTATTTCCTTGGCAATTTTTGCCATCCGTGGAAAGTAGTACTCCGAGAGTACCTGCTTAACATTTTCCTGTGCAGACCTATGGGCCCTATTATGCTCGACTGTGAGGATTTCCCTTCCTTCTCCAACCGCAAATATGTCCACTACGCGATTTTTGCAATGCCAGAACTTTGTGGCTGGGTATCTTCGCACCAATGCATCTTGTATCATTGCAAGCGTGTGTAAATTACAGTGGAGAGCATTTACGCATTTGGGTGAGACTACATCTTCGAGCTCGTCTAGCAGCGATTCGACGCATGTATAGCTGATCAAGTAGCGTTTCTTATTTCCAAAAAGAATAAAACTTCGTTTTAAGGGGAAACGCGCCTCTTCTAGCACTATCTGGTTTTGAAAACAGTTCAAGGGTTTGTCTGTCGTCTCAATGGTGTTGGTGAGAGATACCTCACTGTGGATCGTTGCTGCGCAGGACTCAATTTCTTGCTCATTTATAGCGTTGAGCTGCTGTCTTGACAAGGCATCCGCAACCAGATTGTCCTTGCCAGGTTTATAGAAGATACGTGCATTAGACTCGTCAATGCGCGCTTTCCACCTTTTGATTTTCGCATTTGGATTAGATTCCGAAACTGCGAAGGTCAAGGGTTGATGGTCAGTGAAGATATTAATGTCTTTCACCCCATACAAATAGTGCCTTAATTTGGCAAGTGACCATACAATGGCCAATAACTCTCTCTCATTGGTTGCATAGTTAACCTCACTGTCCTTCAATGTTCTTGAAATCATTGTTATAGGACGACCCTCTTGAGACAAAACTGCACCTATGCCGTGAGCCGAAGCATCGGTCGTTAGATCGAATGGCTTCTTAAAATCGGGGTACCTGAGCATTACATTCTCGGATGACAAAATATCGCGCAACTTCTGAAATGCCCTCTGCTGCACTTCAGAGAATTGAACCTTTATATTTCTGGACCTATGCTTACTGACTGTTCCATTTTCACCCTTCAGGATATTCGAGATGGGTCTTGCTATTGCGGCGAAGTCCCTAATGAAACATCTGTAATAACTTGCGAGGCCTAGAAATGATCTAACCTCGAACAGCGTTTTTGGTTCTGGATACTCCTGTATTGCCCTAACCTTTTCAGGATCCGTCGTGGTGCCAGTGCTGGTGACTACGAAACCAAGAAAGTTCACGCTTTTCTTAAAAAAACGTGACTTTTTGACGGAGACCCTCATGTTTGCTTTGTATAAGCTTTTTAGGACCCGATCCACGTGTTTAATGTGGGATTCCTCATCTTCTGAAAAGATGATTACGTCATTGACATCAACATAGCAAAATTTGCCAATCTGCTCTCGCAGTATGTCGTCGATGGTTCTTTGAAAAATGCTTGCTGCATTCTTTAATCCAAAGGGGAGTCTTTTGAACTCGTATTTCCCCCCGTTCACAGAGAAAGAGGTTTTTTCACGGTCGCGTTCAGCGAGTATGATCTGGTGATAACCAGACTTGAGGTCTAATGTTGAAAAGAATTTGGCTCTCCCCAAATTCCCCAATATCATTGATATATTTGGCATAGGGTATTTGTCCGGCACGGTTTTTTCGTTAAGTTTACGAAAGTCCATTACCAACCTCATTTTCCTATTGCCCGCTTCATAAGTGCCCTTCTTGTCTACTACCCATATTGGGTTATTGTAGGGAGAGACGGACTTTTGAATTATATCATTCTTTAGTAGATCTTTGATTTCTTTATTAACGAAATCAGCCGCTCCCATTGGATATGGGTAAAGCTTGGTATAGATCGGTTGCTCATCTATGGTCCTAATGGTAGCCACGACTGATGTGTTATACGGCAACGTCTCGTCTGGGTCTGCAAAGGCCTTTTGTCTGGTCTTCAGCATTTTCAAAAAAGAACTTCTAACTAATGGGGATGCATCTGCTATTTGTTCAGCTAACTCATTAATTCTTTGAGTCAATGCATGCTCCCTCTGCTGGTTTACAGCAGCCTGTTCGGCTAAAGCTTTGCTGATAGCCGTCCTTATTACTTCCGTAAGCTGATCTACATCCATTCTACCTGATGGTGGGAGAACTGCACAGTCGGAATCTGAGTCGCTAGACTGCCTGCGAGGGTTTCTCTATTGGTTGAACCGAGACATGCGCAGGTCAGTGGTCGCGAAAAATAAAACGGGCCGTCAGAAGATGGGTCGAATTACGTCGCAGTTCTGAACTACGAGAACTGCATGCACAACTTCAGACACACAGAAAGTAACACAATGTAATTTTATTGACGATCTGAATGATCAATTGCTGCCACTAAAATTCCCAAAGTAGTCACTCTCACTTGGTTCTGATCATTAATTTTTTTTTTTTTTTTACATGCAATTGCAATATAAAATACTCGCTAGTCCTAGCTATTTTTTTATAAAATAAATTTTAACACTTTTTGTGTTTGAAGAAAAATTTTGGCTAGAGTATCCACTTACAAGATTCAACTAACACAAAACAAAAAAAAAAAAAAAAATCCCTTTATAAGATCTGTCAATTGCAGCTCCCGCGCTGCTGTCTTAATTGTTGTTGGTTGTGGAGTCCGACCACTAGTTGGGCGCCAATTATATGATTTCCAGTCCTGTGGTGACTGAAAGTTAGGTTGAGAGGCGACTGTGCCTCTTATTGCTGGCCTCGGGCTCAGACAATGAAATAAGCCATTTAACGAGCAAATGACGGAGTGAATATTTATTTAAGCGGTTTACTGGAAGAACGCTTTTTAACCCTGCTTTTAATTGTTCTTTTTTGAATAATCGAAACAGTTAATTTTATTGGTTTTTCTTATTATATTCACTATTTTTAGTTTTACTTATATGACACCAATTTTTAGCATGTCCTATCAGTACGAGTTAAAACACGAGACTGATCTATATTTTTACAAATCATAGCCTCACCGGCGTAAGTAGAGTTGCCCTTGCCAGGGCTGTTCCTTAACTTGTCTAGCACCCGATAATAAGTGTTGAATAATACCTTACATTAAGTGTTATAAGCTAACTAAGTGTTATAAGTTAACTTATATATAGTGATATATACATTGACATTCACATACTTTACGTATAATCATTCGCACAAAAAAAGTAGGCATATCGCTGAATAAATACATATATATGAATATCAACTACACACATATCATAGCCAAGGCTCCCCTAATGTCAAAAGCTAAAAAAGCTTGAGAGCGTGAGTGAATTTTTGCACATAACCCATAAGCATTGCAATCTATTTTTATATCTTATCTCTGTATATAGAGATTATATAAAAGCTCTTGCTTGGTATGCCTCTTATCATTTCAAAAGCTTGACAGTGTTTAGTTATTAGAAACGTTGGAATGGATATGTTCATATTGAAACTCGACTCATATTGCTTGGAATATATTTTGGCTTATTTAGATGTAAGAGATGCGCTAAATTTTGCAGATACTTGTTCTCGCTTCCGTGACGTCTTTAAGCTGTGGGCAAGACGAAAATATGTCATTTCTTATATCTTTGCGGACATTTCTACATTTGAACTCAAGCTGTTATCGGTTAATGCCGAAAATATACAGAAAATGTATATAGATGTTGATGATTTGATTTTATACTTAACCGAAAGTTACAATAAAAGAAAAACGTATTTTTTCAAAAAATTTTGTATGACTCTTAAAGAAATGCATAGCCTTCAAAATGTTACTTTGTGCCAGGAAAATAAATATGCTTATGTACAAGAAATACTGTTAGCTCTAAACGCTATCGACAGTTTGAAGCACCTAAAGCTCTCCGCTCAGAGTAAGTACATTTGTCCATTTTGATACAATTAATCAACTCTTATATTGTTTTCAGAATGCAAACCTTCATTATTGCGACGTTTTCAGCAACTGGAGAATCTATCATTGAACGTGCCGTTGAGCTCTAAGGACCTGTTAGCTTCCTGCCAGTCAATGACTTATCTGAGTACGTTGCACTTGTCGGATGAAGTGGGTAGTTCAATGCTGAAAGATATCGTTCTTTATTGCCCGCTTTTGCGTGAACTCAGCTTCCATTTTAAGCCTCAGAATAATTCACTTAACTGCATACGTGTTGGCAAATCAAATATATTTGGAGCCTTGGCGGATAGAGCCAAATACCTAAAAATCTTAAGCGTTAGTGGCATTATATCTGATCTCTATGATGCCGAACAGCTCGCTCGCATTAGTTCGTTAAACATCCTCCGGTGCAGTTTCTCCAATGAGGACTGTGTTCTGGCTCTAGGACAACTTAATCTGCTTGAGGAGCTACGAATTGTTTCTTGTTGTTTCACTAATATTGCCTTAAAATACTTGGAACTGATCAGAGCCTGCTCCAAACTGACTTTGCTGAGCATAATGGACTTCAGAATATCATCAGATTTCGGATCAATGGCTGCCACAGTTCTGGAAAAGTTTGTCGATAGACAACCCCTGACGTTATTCATTTATGGACATCGAGAATCGACAATTGTGGCTAATGCAGCAAATATAAATATGAACGTAGTAAAATACCAAACCATGACGCTTCATGAAACATTAAAACTGTTATAAATGTTCAACATAAAAAGAAATCTGATATTGCTCGATGATTGCTAAACAAGTTGTTTATCCTTATAATATGGGGACAAATAAATAAGAAATGCTTTGATTGTGTTTCAAATTTGTATTGAAAAACATTTCCATTTAATGTTGTGCTTCTACAATTGAAGATTGAAAATATCCTTCAGGCATTGAATAAGAAAAACTTCAAAGTTAAATTCATAAAAAGAGCATCGCAATATAGAAGCAACAACATTTTCAATTATGCCAAACTTCGAACTGTTAATTAAATCTGTCAAAAACAATTAAGCAAAATGTTCACTTAAAAGCCGCCAACAACGTATATAATTAGAAATAATGAAGTTGAAGAAAAAACTGAAATTATTTACCTGGCAAACGAGCATTATCTGTACAGAACGCAATATAAAAACAGGTGCAAAACAACAACTCGACTCTAACACACCGTTGACACAGCAAAATATAATCTAGAAATTGCTCTTTATAAAATTGATATGTACAAAACAGATATAGACTGTGACACATTGTGCAGGGTATTAGCAATTCAAGTGCAAACAATGCGATTGCCTCCCAAGGGACTGACAAATGAAATGTCTACGCAACAAAATAGCAACTGTCGGAGTCGGAAATACATCAAGTGTGAGCACTGAAAGCCTTCGATGAGATGAGTGCTGAGATGAGCTGGGTAGCCGGATAGCGGGTAAAGACGGCCAGGAAACGGCCAGGCGACAGCTTCCTCGATGCCACCATTGTGCGCTGTGGAGTGAAGCGTTGACAATAACGGAAATTATTGTTTCTATTCTTATTTTCTAACATTGTGAGCAGCGTGTTCTGCGAGACAGCTTTTCAGTTAAGATTATGGCAAACATTGCCAAGCTTTGCGGGTCTCGGCTCCATGTCATTTTCAAGACACACAGCGGTGTGTGCTAAAGACCACTTGTTTTAAATAAAATATGTTAGGCTGACCTTTTGATCTTTTCCTTGTATATAATATATAAAATTTGTCTACTGACTGACTGGCTATTTGGTAGTCAGTGCACAGACAAGACACTAAGTGCTAGGAGACTAAATTCAATTAACGTCGGTACCATCAAAGTAATTTCACGTCTTGCCGTTTTGGATAGTTCGCCTAATTAACTTTATCTCAGCTTATACTCTTACACAAATACACTCTCTTACGTTTTGTGTTCGAAGCTTTAATTAACTTTATCTCAGCTTATACTCTTGGTCAAGTTTCCTCTCATACACCTTCTGTTTGAAGTTGATCCAAAATATATGTATATATACTCATGTTCTCGTCTTACTCATGAACTAAAATCTATACATCAACAAGGTACTTGCCTTTGAAAACTTTCCTTCATTTGCTTTTGTAGAAGGGTTTTAACGATTATAATAAAAGTTACGGCTTGTAAAAACTCAACACAACAGCTGAACATATTATCGAATGCATAAGTTAAATATATTTGAAAGGAAAACACTTCCATTATTGATTTCTTAAAGTAAAAATAAAACATAAAATTCAGGAAAATGCATTATTCTCTGTGTGAAAAAAGTATTTTGTCCGCATTTGCCATTCATTAATTAACTTGTAGTCAACAGGAACTTGGAGACAAATTGCTCATGTTGCGGTTATTGTTGTTGCTGTTCTTTGAGATTTTCTTGAAAATTGCATTGTTTGACAAAGACCCAACTATATGACCTTTTGACAGTTTATAGTCTTGACTTAGTACAGTGGTCTACGGCAGAGCCAGCAGCTAAGCCAAAAGAAAAACTCTCCGTAAGCCTTGTTGACTCTTGAACTTACTTGACAGCCTGCAGCTGCTGCAGATTTTTTGGCAGTAGCATCACAGCAACCTCATGGATATGTAAAATTGTGTGGATATTGTGCGAATTTCTTTGAAGTTCCATGTAAACTTGTTGAAGTGCTTCAATTATAACTTGAAAACTTGTTGACATTTATTGAACACTGAAAAACAGGCAATGTCAGCCTTCAAGGCACATGTCAAGTGACGATACACCAGGCTCTACACATAGCCCCACACACACACACACACACACTCACACACTCACACATACACACAGAAGTTGTAAGGGCATAAGGTTTACCCTATGCCAGCTTTCATAGCTTAATAGAAAGACGTTTGCATTGACACTTTGTGTCCCTATGAAAATTATCCAGACTTTCATAGCGTGGAGTTTATTTGTAAAGAATTAGTCCTTCTAAGTCACAATTTTTGATCAAACTTAGTAACTAAATTAAAATCAAAGTAATTTATAACTTTTAAGCATTTTATTCAATATGTAAAACTTTGCTGTATAGAGTCAAACAAATTTAAATTTGAGCATGGAAACAATTTAGGTAAAGCATACAATTTTCTGTTTGTGGCTATTTGTTTGATTTGGCAAACAATGTAATTAATTTATTTTGATTATGCTAATACAATAATTTGCAATTTAATATATGGCAAAATAATAAATGAAAAATCTTAATTAGAGCAAATATATACCCTGTTTTTAAAAATGCCAAAGGATATATAAAGCTAATTCTGTTGTATGCGAACTTGAAACAAATTATGAATTAACATATAACGTAATATATTTATAAATATATATGATTGAATATGACTGTTAATCAAGCGTTTAGAACAGCTTCGATAAGGGAACAAGATAAAATGCACTCACAACTAACATGCATAAAGTTTACTGAAAATGTTGTGCAACATGAAGTCTCACACTCTTTTTTTTTGCTGCTTGTTATTATTTGAATAGGTTTGTTCTTACATGAATTTACGATTTGTGCTTTTTGTTTTACATTTGTACACATATACATATATATGGAGGACTCTTGATAACAAACAATAAATTGTAACAAAGGACATGTTAGACACAATAATTGTTTTCGAAATTATATTTTCTCTCGTGAGCTAGACCTGTGAAACCCAGTTAAAAGCCAAACCGTTTTGTTACGCTCAAACTAGACATATTTAATCCAATTAATGCACAAGGACAACGCGCTGTTCCTTTTGAGACGTAATTGGTTTACGGCAAAGGTAAAGGTTTCATCAACTCAGTCAAATTGCCGTTGGTGCCCGGTTTGAAGTTTCAGCTTGTGGCACCCACTCACGGTTGGATATATAAAATGGCTAATTGGTTTTCGAGAAAGGCAACATAATTGGCATGTGGCTAACGACCAATCAGAAAATCTAATTGAATGGTGCCAAAGGGTCCTAATGTCTTTTATACACTTGTAACCTGATAGGAGATCCAGTGGGGCGCATCATCGACAACTAGAGCCCTTCATTTACATTCAATTTACAATTTCATTCACTTTAAATTTACAAAGTCGCTTTGAATCAATTGATATAGGTCATTCGTACACAACTTCATTTCTATTGTCAGCATAAGAGAAGTTCATTACGCTTAAAAAAACTGAGATATGTTAATGTTAATCATATACAAATGGAATATTAATTTAATTTTGCATATCTTTCCGAATGTGCATAATTTTAAAGCAAGTTAATCATACGCCTCGTTACATAATTATCATGAACTCGTCTGTGTATATAAAAAATAAAACGGTTAAGAGTAACTTTCTCTCAATTTTTGCGCACCCAACGAACCGGCAATCAAAAGTTAATAATTTTTCACACACTGCTTTAACATATGGTTCGCAAGGGGAAATTAAATATTACTATTTAATACATAATTAGTGCAGCGTAGTTCGCAGAGTATTTTAATAAACTTTCTGCAAATATTTACAGTAGAAAAGTTCCAGACAATGATTACCAGTGTGGCTTTATGCATCTCAAATTACATAAAAAAGGGTCACAGTAAACACAGTTTAAAACTGGATTTATACACAGATAATTATTGAATAAATATTTTAAATAAATAATAAAATAAAATAAAAAACTAGAATCGATATAGTTTTCAAAGATATAGCACTGTCCTGAATGCATATATATGTTTTCAAATATTTTAAAATGTAGAAAATTGGAAATATCGCAACTTGTTCATGAGTAAGCAGACGCCAGCAACAGTAAGTAAATTCTGTGATATTTGCTTAGTCTAAAAAAGCGGGCTAAGCCAATGCGATTAAGTCAAAAAACAACAGACAAACATTTGGAAATTGTGTCAGAGAAGTGCTGACATTGTCTGATTGGCAATTGCAATTCACCAGACCACAAAACAAAGTGCAATACATTTACTTGGCTAGTTCTTGGCGACTGGCGAATTGTTTGATTTGATTTGGTTTGGCTGGGTTTGGCTCGGGCTCAGCTGGAAGAGAAGTACGGAATGACATGCCGTTAAGCATTTGGTTTTGATTCGTTTGCTATTTGTTTAGCACTCAGTGACAAGCACTTTGGCAATTTATTTTGCACGTTGGCATATTTAATAGGCGGGCACGACGCTCGACAGCTGACAAATTATGCCAATGTGGGCTGAGCGCTAATGCACTGGGCCTGAATAATTGATCTGGCATTGTGTCTGAGTTTTCAGTGCGTGAACGAAACACATAGTTTCGTCGTTGTTCGCATTGCATACATTTGTCACGCTGCGTATACGCAATTTGCATATAACGCATCCGCCCCGAGCGGCTTTCATCGAACACGCAGAGCACAGAGAGCAGACAGATGTCTTTTGTTTATTAGATGCCAATTTCCATTTGTAGCTAACGAAAAACTGCCATTTCGGCACAAATGCGAGATGTACTCCAATTGTTGCAGGCCAACTACATTTTAAAGTGACTAATTTAGTTTCCCAAGTCTCAGCAGGTCAACAGATTAAATCAATTTGTATTAGATTACTTATTTGAAAGCTGTAAAGACTTTGCTAATCACTTAGTATGGGTATTCTGCTTTAAAACTTCTCTTCCCACCGATAGGCATGCACGATTTTAGTTTGTCATGCGTAATTGATTTAATTATTACTCAAGCCGCAGAGCAGCTGACAAAATGTCTTGTCGGCCAAATTCCACTCAATTGAATTTTCGAAAATAAACACCTGTCGTTGA